TTGGTCCGCATTGTGAAGGCTGGGTCGACTGGTGGGAGAAACCACTGTTTGGTAAGACTGTGAAGTCTTCTGGTTGGTTGGTGGTAGCCGAGGTGTTAGGTATAGCGTCAGGAGCTCTGGTGGCGGGGTTAGGAGGGTTGTCTTGGTGGGGATGGTATCATGATGCTGAAGCAGTAGAAGCCGTGTGTGGCAACCTGAGTGGCCATAGCTGCTGAGTTGAAAATTATCTTCATTGTTGCTTTATCGCCACTGCAGAACACAATGGCGAACACGCCCATGTTCGGGATTTCGGACTCGATATACGTACTAATCTCTCACTTTCTATGCGGTCAGTTATCTATGGGTTGGTCGTGCTGATAAAACTGATCTTTCGCCTATGAACTGACATGGGTAATTGAGAAAGAGGTGGTGATATTTGCGAAGTGGGAAATCGTAGCCCAGGAGTTTTTCTAGGTCCTCCACACTTGTGAAGAAGCACACGATATCCTCACCTTCCTGACTAATGCCCTTGGGTGTGATGCCGGCCCCATCCTTGTGGATTTCAGAATATCGCTTTTTCCAAAAGCATGACCATTTGGGGGGGGGGGGGTTAACCCTAACTTTCACACGTTTGGGTTGCATTGTGTCCTCAGTGTGACTCAACGGGTCGCAGTGTCAATTGACGTTGTGGGGGAAGGTTTCTGGTTCTCTGGTAGTCCACCGGGTAATGCTCATTACATAAGGAGGCTTTCCGTCTACTCCCGAGTATAATCGGGAAGATAGTGGGGATGAAGATGAAGAGGGATTGACTGATTAGGAATAAGCCACCCAAAAGGTGGCACGGGAATGAACAGCTCGAAAGTGGAGGCTCTTTGGAGCCATTACCAGTACCAATAGCTGATACTGGAAATTTGTGGATGGATGGTCGCTCGCAGTTTAGGGCCAGCAGGACGCGTGGTCGCCAGGTTGCAGTTCAGTATGCAAGGCGACGCTCTATATCTGAACAGAACAATCTCGATAGTTTGGTACCATCAGGATCGTCGTCCTTTTCGAGGAATTGTATTTGTCCGTCTGGGAATTTGCAGTGGAATTCTGGATCACTACACTACACGGCACTACACTGTGTAATGATGAAAGGACGAAGAGGAGAGAACGGCCTATTGACATAGCTCGAGTGCAGGGGGGAGTTGTGTAAAACCCTGGTTTGTGCCTCGGAGAGGCTGCAGGATCCAGTAAGTTCAGTAGAACTTCGGTTTCAACTCATTTAACCCTGTCGTAGCTCAGTCGATTAAGGCAGTGTCTGGGATGCTCCCGGACGCAGGTTCGAATCCTCGTCACGGCCCTTGTGGATTTGTTCACTGGATCACGGTATTCTTTCTTCAGTATTGTGAAGTCAGTGCAGGAGTTCATGGTGGTGGTGTGGACGTACATGGGGGTGGCGTCCATGCACCCCCCATGTATGCGGGTATTTGTTCTGGCTGATTTTATTTTGTTTCATTTGTGGGACAGTTTTCGTCAGGTGTGTGCGTTGCCACTGAACTCGTTGGGCGGAATGAAGAGCACATGGCAAGTACTTTTGTCTTCCTCCTCGTCCAACCCGTTCTAGCAATTTCGTATAGTCAATATTGACTTATTAAATACGTGCATATGTGATATACTAATTTATTGTGAATATTTTAGTTTACCTTGAAAAGCTTCATAGAAAACACTGACCTTACCTAACCTTCTTAGTATGTTAAGATAAGCATCTTATTGCTTCGTAATTACAATTATTACTTAACCTATTATAGGTATATGTTAAGTAATAATTGTAATTACGAAGCAATAAGATGCTTATCTTAACATACTAAGAAGGTTAGGTAAGGTCGGTGTTTTCTATGAAACTTTTCAAGGTAAACTAAAATATTCACAATAAATTAGTATGTCACATATGCACTTATTTAATAAGTCAATATTGACAGTAAGAAAGTGCGAGAACGGGTTGCCTCGTCTTCGTGGTAGGTCGCAAGGCCATTCTCGTCGACGTCGGTTGAAGAGCGGTTGTTGTTGTTATAGATTCAGCTACTCGGAACAAGTTCCAAGAAGTACGGGATATGGTGAGCCCGTAACTTACCTGACACAGGAGCGAGGCAAGAAGCACGGGCTATGGTTAGCCTGTTGAAGAGTGGTATAGAAAGTCAATTTATAAGGTAAGAGAGTGAGGTGAAATGCCTGATTGTTGAAATATTAGAATAAGGAATAAGGTATCATGTATGAGACCAAGGTTGAAATAAGGAACTAAGGATGAAATATAGAAATAAGGACGAAGTATGGGTATAAAGAAAAAAAACTGTACAAAACAGAAAGGCGAAGAGAAAGAGGTGATATAGAGACAAAAAGAGATATCAGCAAAAAGTTTGCAACATCTGCTAATTTGATCTGACTAAATGTAAACTGTCAGCAGAACTATTCGCATATTTTGCGTCATTATGTAATGGAATGTGAAAAAAATCACGGAATTCACAGATAACTTCATCAATGGAGTCCAAGAAATATGTAACTCCTTCATTCATAATGATGTGCTGCCAGTAATCTTAGCGAAGTATCCAAAATTTGCTTACTGTAGGTGCAGCCTGCACATGACTGTAAAGCTGCCGCCCAGTTGGGTGGGTGTGGAGCAGAGCAGACTAGTAACTGCGTTGCTCACCATAGATATAGTGACTTGTGAGCCTCTTGTTGAATCACTTCTAATATAAAAAGATAATCGATATGTATAAATGATTGTATATATATATATATATATATATATATATATATATATATATATATATATATATATATATATATATATATATATATATATATATATATATATATATATATATATATATATATATATATATATATATATATATATATATATATATATATATATATATATATATATATATATATATATATATATATATATATATATAACTGGCTTCAAATGATTGTCACATGCTTAGCTAAACGAACTATGGGGTTCAATTCCTAAACCCATTATGTGCCTCTGTAACGCTTTCCACCATCGCCCACGGGATGGGTATTGGGTGGATAATAGGGAAAGAAATTGAAAAAATTGAATTGAGAAAGAAAGAAAGAAACGAGAGCCTAGAGGGAATAAAGCCAAGTCAGATCACGTTTGTTGAAAAAGTTGGTGCATGTATGTAGTGAGAAAGATAAAGAGTCAACAGGAACACAGTCAGGACTGAGATTCATCTTGTACATTAGAGACGATTCGACAAAATGGTGTCTGAGAAGAGTAGAGGTCTGTGAAATCTAGCCAAATACATATCTTCTTAAATTTTATACGTTTGTTATTTAATGCAAAATTACTCACCTCGTCAACAGGCTGAAGTCCATTAAAATAAGTTATTCGCACTTGAGTAACATGAATTACTCAGTGCTTAAATTGTGCAACAAATTAGAAATATACTTTACACAAAAATGTCCGAATACCAACTACCTTCTTAGTTTTCACATAAAAATTTGACATCTTGTACCAGCTGTAGATGGAGTTGGGATGGAGAGGAGTGAATTATCAGGAGAAAGTGCCAAGCCATTACGACTATATAGCACTGGGAAGGAAAGAAGGAACTATCAGGAAAAAGTTCCAAGACATTACGACTATATAGCACTGGGAAGGAAAGAAGGAACTATCAGGGAAAAGTTCCAAGACATTACGACTATATAGCACTGGGAAGGAAAGAAGGAACTATCAGGAAAAAGTTCCAAGACATTACGACTATATAGCACTTGGAAGGTATCAGGATTAGGATTTACGATGGAACGGGAGAATGAATGGTGCCCAACCACTTGGACGGTCTGGAATTAAACGCCGACCTACATGAAGCGAGACCGTTGCTCTATCGTTCACCTCAAGTGATTGGGCGACCTGGTATGAAGATTGAAACATGCACACATGATATCACAAAGCTGGTATATAAGTGGATTAGAATAAAGTATAAGAAATAGCTGTGGAAAAACCTTTCTATCTTCCGGAGATAAAGATTTAGCGGTTTTTCCCAGCAAAAACTTTTACATCGAATATATACAAACCGACAATTCAGTGATGCACAGAACATAACAGATGAGGTTGAGGTTGCATTACATTACATTTGGTTGGGTTAAGTTAGGACAGGTTTAGTTACATAATATTAAGTTAAGTTGGTAAGGTTATGGTACGTGATATTATGATAGGATGAGAAGGTTCATCTCTGGTATTTCGCGAGAAATCTGTCAAATGATGACCTAAACTGGTAACTATATTATCATTATCTCTTAACGGCAGACAAGAAGGCTGTTCTGGAGAACACAATAACATCCTGTTCAAGAACACAATAACATCCTGTTCAAGAACCCAATAACATCCTGTTCAAGAACACAATAACATCCTGTTCAAGAACACAATAACATCCTGTTCAAGAACACAATAACATCCTGTTCAAGAACACAATAACATCCTGTTCAAGAACACAATAACATCCTGTTCAAGAACACAATAACATCCTGTTCAAGAACACAATAACATCCTGTTCAAAAACACAATAACATCCTGTTCAAGAACACAATAACATCCTGTTCAAGAACACACCATAACTGCATAAGACCTCACTGTTTACATAAAGGTTAATTCAATAATTTCAAAATACACAAAAATTAACATGAACCACATTCCACATGCTGGATTATTTAATCCTCTGTATACTATATTAACGAGATCAGCAAAACCAAACAATGGGTCTGAATTAATAGATAAACTGTTGTTAGGATAAAAAGTTAATGGAAATAAACAATTTAGTTGAATGTGATTGAGCGATTCATCAATGATCATAGGAAATGTTAATTAAACAACGAAATTCAAATGCAGTAGTTTGTGTTCTCTCTGGCTGAGTTCACTCACAGCTAAGTTTTGAGGTGATGCGAGGATCAAGTTTTTATGTACTGTGCCAGTATGAGGCGTGTGTGAGGGGCCAGTATGAGGCATGCGTGCAACTAACCATTGTGGGGAGTGAGAGCGTGGGTAACACAGCTGCTGGTGTCTTGGAGGTAACTGCTCTCTACCTCACAGCTCCTCCCTTATATACCTTCTGAACCACCTCATAACCTTGTCTCTGGGTCAGGTGCTACGTTGGAATATACACATATTTAGATCAACTCATTGATTTAATATTTTCACAAATATTTTCTTAATGCGTTTCAGTCGCTATTATAAAGTATGTCATAGTTTGGGTTTATACTGCATCAACATATTCACAGGACAAGTCTGAACCATGCTAGGGGCAAGTCTGAGCAAAGGCTGGAAAAATCTGCATTAAGACAATCCAGATCTGAACAAAGACAGCATGGCTTAACAAAAACAGGACAGGCCTAATTATACAGGACTGTATTCAGATACAGGACAAGCGAAAACAAACAGAAACAGGTGTTAGCAAGCACATAACAGAATTGAACACAGAACAGGATTGAACAACGCAGGACAGAGTTCAATAATACAGAACAGAGCTGAACAACACATGGCTGGGTTGAACAAACATTACCAAACATTAGCGAGGGTTGAGAGGCCATCTGCCACACACACACTCACACTCAGAAACTATTCGTAACAACTTATCCAAATCATTGCAATACTGGCTGAATCTTAAATTCAAAGTAAAAAAAGTTGACTAATGCCGTGGCAAACATCGTCTTGAATAGTACTTGAACTTTAAAAGTTTCATATGACATTTAGAACTGTTAGTTCATCATCAGATCTAAAAAGACAACAAAACCAGTTAAACAAGACATGCTAAAATACTGAGTAAAGTTGAAAAAATATGTTACTGGATACAACAAAATATAAAAATTAAAAACTAATCCAGAATGAAATTTATTGCAAAATAGAAGTAAATAATTATCAGGAGAAAGCAACCCGTCCTCTTAAAAATAACGTCACTTTTGGCTCGTATGCGCACTATGGCCAAATTTGGACGTAATTTGAAATGAAATCGACTCACAAAAGTGACGTACTGTTCTGTTTTCTGTTTGAGTCGTCCCGCTTACTCGGGTAGCTTAGAAGAGGAAACTTTCCATTAACGTTTTTCATACCATTTTGAAACTTTATGAGAATTTTTGCCCACCTAACCTATCAGAGGACCCTTAACTTACTGTTGTTAAAAAAAAATCCCAAATTTATATTCATTTTTTTTTTCATTTTCAAATTACGTCCATATTCGGCTATACGGGCAAACGGCCAAAAGCGACGTTCTTTTTAAGAGGACAGGTTGAAAAAAGAACTTGAAAATATATTACAAATTGATCATCATTAACGAACTTCTTACATTATGGTCAGAGTAAAAATTTCCATTTGCTGTTTAATCATCCTTTGAATGGTTCTTAAGAGGATCACAAGCAGTTACCAACCAATAATGTTTCAAATCTGAACATAGCAGAGTAAAAATATATCAATTAGGAAATTTATAATACCAAGTGAAAGAAAACGAGTTTTGGTATGTGTAATAATCTATTTCAAAAATGGAAACGGAAACAAGCGATATTGGGAAATTATACGAAAAGCAAAAAACGTCTATTACCAAGACGTAAACTAACACTTTATAGTTAAAATGAATTATTTTTAGAAAAAAAATCACCAATAAATAGAAGTCTGTATAAAAATAAATAAGACAAATTCAATGTAACAAAACATAAGTGAAAAAACGCACACAAAATACTAAACTTGTTTAAAGGCAAATTAAGGAAATTGCTTTAAAACTCAACCTTGTGAAGTAGCATATATAATATATTTTTATTTAGTAGAGGACGATATGATTACACTGTGCAAGATACATAAAATATATGTATCCTTATATATCGATTGCATTCAATGATAATGTAATCATATTTTATGTGTCACGAAACTTCCCGATAACTCATAACAGCACGATAATTTCTACGCTCATTGTAGCTGACTCAACTTTATTTTGTTGGTACAAATTCTCGCAATGAACACTATCTTGCATACTTGTAAATCATTATTTACGTAATTCTGTTTGGATCTGGGTAGATTTGCAGAGTTTAGGTAGATTGAAGTAATTTGTGGGATCATATTTCCCTACCTTGCCCTTCAGGAACTCTCAGGTGTTCCAGTTGCATATCAATCCTACCAGCTAGACATGATGTGCCATGCAAAATCGGTAATGTTACGCTTCGCTAGAGATTCAGTATATTTTTGGGAATGTTTGATTTGATGGAGAATATATCAAGTTGCTAAGTCCTCACATATAGGAGGAGACTATATGTATCAGATGCTGCATGTCGAATGGCAAGCGGAGACCTGCTAGGTGCTGCTGGAGAGAACGAAGTGAAATACCGTCTCATCAGTTGTTTGTTGTTGTTTTAGATGTAACTTCTCAGAACGTCCATGTAGCACGGGCTATGGTGAGCCCGTCTTCTCATCACTCAGCAATACCGGCTAGGTACTCCTGACAGGTGAGAAGAATGTGCTAGATGGAGAGATACTGTTGAAGTTTCGTCAGATGACAGGAAACTGGCGTATCGGTGGTGATGCACTTAAGGCATGGTCAAGATGGTCCACTTACTTTGTTAGAGAAGTAAACTTTGTTGTCTTCCCTAAAGACAGCAGCGACCACCGTTCCCGGGGTATACGAACCTGACTCCCACGGTGTCCAAACTCAGTCAACCAACCATGAATGTTTTATACCTGAACATAGTTCAGGATTAAAATATATTATATTAAACAATTCAATCAGTACACAATATTCAAATGAAGTTGTAAGCGTAATTACTTATTTCCAAAATGGAAAAGAAAACAAGCGATGCTGGGAAATTATACGAAAATAAAAAACGTGTATTACAAAGACGTTGACTAAGAGATATTTATTACAACGTCAAATTTTATAAAAAAAAATTAAATAATAAATAGAAGTTTTTATAAAAAGAAATTACAAAAATTTAATATATCCCATCCTAAATGACGATACGCAAAAAAAAATGCTAACCTTCATACAAGGGGGAACTAAAGAAGTTTCTTTAAATCGAAACCTTTTGTAGTTGCATATACGATATACTTTTATTCAGTAGAGGACGAAGTTTCATAATAAACAGAGACTCCATTAATCTTTTATCTATTTAGTCTTCATTACAAAAATCCAAAACTCCGAAGCCAGACTCCTTCAGAAGACGATCTCGCAAGTAATCGCTAATTTCGAAGAACGACTATTTCGATAATTGCTAACCATTTCCATACGACACTTTTTTTTTTATGTTCCAACAGCTAATTTCTTTAGTTTCTAATGAAGCGGCCAAGTTAACTTGTGCCAAGACTAGAGGCTTAAAACAGTTGTATAAATTAACGATATTGGAATGGAACTGATCGTGGGAAAAATGTCCATGTATATAAAATAGAGTCAATGATATTGAAATAAAAACAAGTAACTTTTAATTCTGCTTGAGGATAACACTGTTGAGTAATTTACTCAGTTGATTTCTGTTAGAGAAACTCTCTTGATCCGGTAGATCACGGTACACAGGCTTAGTACCAGAGGGTTACACATTGCTTACGAGACTTACCGTCTCTTCCCGGTATAATGCACCAAGTTTCTGGTTGGGTCTGACCTTCTAGAGTAAACCCGCCAAACACACACCGAAACTACAACGTTGGTACAACGTTCGAACAAGTTTTAACACCTAACCAGTTATAACAACCAATATAGCAAGTTGTAACAAGTTTTAACACCTCCTCGTAGGGGGCCTCGTAACCTGGTGAATAGCGCGCAGGCCTCGTAATTCTGTGGCGCGGGTTCGATTCCCGCACGAGGCAGAAACAAATGGGCAAAGTTTTTTTTCACCCTGAATGCCCCTGTTACCTAGCAGTAAATAGGTACCTGGGAGTTAGTCAGCTGTCACGGGCTGCTTCCTGGGGGTGGAGGCCTGGTCGAGGACCGGGCCGTGGGGACACTAAAGCCCCGAAATCATCTCAAGATAACCTCTCCTAACCAGTTATAACAACCAATATAGCAAGTTGTAACAACGTTCTAATACGTCATAAACACGTTAAGCCAAGATGTAAGAACTTTATTACAAGTTGTAACAAGCGGAAAATAGAGACAGTTACGGTTTGTGTTTCCAGGGAAGCACTCTAATGATGATATACTAAATAGAATCACTGATTATCATGAATTACTGCGCACCATCATTAATAAGGTAGAGTAGCGAATTAAAGCATAATCTTGAACTGGGTGCCTGGTGAGTGCAACATTCAGGTTACTGATCTGGCACTTAGATACCTTAGCTAAGTCGGCCTTACACCTCGTGGGAGCCAAGTTAGAATACCCCGGGAGCTGTGGCTAGTGCTCCCGGGGTATTAAAAATCCAAACCGTTCTCGCACTTTCTTACAGTCAATATTGACTTATTAAATACGTGCATATGTGACATACTAAACATACTAGTTTACCTTGAAAAGCTTCATAGAAAACACCGACCTTACCTAACCTTCTTAGTATGTTAAGATAAGCATCTTATTGCTTCGTAATTACAATTATTACTTAACCTATACCTATAATAGGTTAAGTAATAATTGTAATTACGAAGCAATAAGATGCTTATCTTAACATACTTAGAAGGTTAGGTACGGTCGGTGTTTTCTATGAAGCTTTTCAAGGTAAACTAGTATGTTTAGTATGTCACATATGCACGTATTTAATAAGTCAATATTGACTATACGAAAGTGCGAGAAGGGGTTGTAAAAATCACTAATAAATAACTTTCTATAAATAAAAAGATAAATTCTATATAACATAACGAAAATGAAGAAACGCACAAAAAATACTAACGTTGATAAATGTGGTACTAAAGAAATTGATTTAAATCGCAACCTTGTGCAGTAACATATATGATATATTTTTTTATTCAATAGAAGACGATATGACTACACAATGCAAGATACATAAACTATATGTCCTCAGAAATGAAATGTAGTCAATGATATTGTAATCATTCACATTTTATTTTATGTTTCACAATATTTCCTAATAACTCATAATAGCACAAAAA